AAGAAGGAATGAAGCGCGGACAGCGCAGCAAGTTGAAGAAGATCAAGGAGAAGTACAAGGACCAGGATGATGAGGACAGAGCTATTATGATGGAACTGCTACAGGTAAGTCCAAGAAACTTGTGGTTCTGATAAAGATGGCTTGCTTTAAGAAATATCAGAGAGCAGACCTTTGTCCATTGAAGACGGTAGAGCAGAAATTTAAATATTTTTTTTTATGGCATAAGCCGGTAAACGACCAGATGGATCACCTGATGGTAAGCAATCGGCATCGCCCATGGACACCTGGAACACCAGAGGCGTTACAAGTGCGTTACCGGCCTTTTGGGGATTAGGAGTTTGAGGATCGTTGGGGATTCAGGAATTGGGGAGATTGGGGAAGGAGAGGGTAATTGGGCCTCCGGTAACCTCACTCACACGACGAAACACAACGCAAGCGTTGCTTCACGTCGGTTTTCTATGAGGCCGTGGTATCACTCCGGTCGAGCCGACCCATTCGTGCCGAAGCATGGCTCTCCCACACTTATTACACACAAATGATTTCTTTAAAAAAACAAATATTACTGTGCTACAGGGTCCATAAATGCCCATAACTTAGCTTTAAGCCTATTGTAACACCTTATTCACTTTATGATACGCGAATAAATGAATATGAAATGAAGTTCAATGTTATGAATATGGAGCGTAAATGTACAATGGTTTGATTGATACTAGCAAATTCTCTCCTCTCTGTGTTGGACAACTTACGGAGCTTGATAATTGTGCCTGGCTCCTAGTGGCGACTTCGTGTGCGATAATCTTCATTCAGTCGTCAATCATTCCAACAAAAGCCTAATCAACAAAAGATCTGACATCGCGAATAATCAATATAAATAAAAATGAATTTCTGTTCGTTAGTCTCGCTAAAACTCGAGAACGGCTGAACTGATTTGGCTAATTTTGGTCTTGATAGGTTCGTGGAAGTCTAGGGAAGGTTTAAAAGGTGAGAAAAAACTTTTAGGCGGTACGAAGTTTGCCGGGTCAGCTAGTCTTTATATATATAATTCTGCTGTACGTGTGTATGTCATTGAACTCCTCCTAAACGGCTTGACCGATTTAAATGAATTTTTCTGTATGCATTTGAGTAGCGCCCTGGATGGTTTAGATTCACAAATCAGTCTGGCAGATGGCGCTGCAGTCGGTGTCTAGGATATTTATCCTAACCTAACAATAATAATTATCATTTTATTGGTCTCTCCTTTCACACATTTTTGTGTACTTTCTTATATAAATGCATGAATAAGTCAGACCAATTTATTATTGACGAAGAAACCTTCCTATGCACGTTACTTTATTTTAATTTGTCCATCCTCCAGTCGGCTAAAGGCGAGAAGGAATCGAAGAAGGCGCAGAAGAAGGCTGCAGCGGCTAAGGCTAACAAGGTGAAGGTGCCCAAGGGAAGCAAGATCCCGCAGCCCGCGCCGCTACTGCTGGAGGCGGACTCCGAGCCTGAGGACCTGGAGAACGAACCCGATGTGAGTTCTAACATAGACTTACTTACGTCAAGTTTAAGTAACATGTGTGATTTGACAAACATGACAGGGATTTTGACATTTATATTATAACTATCGGACTGCATCGTTGGCCGAGTGGTCGCGAGTGCGATTGCCGGGCAAGGGGTCTCGGGTTCGATTCCCGGGTCGGGCAAAGTATTACTGGGTTATTAAAAAATTCTCAGTAGTAGCACGGAAACTGTGCCCGGTATATGGCAATATTCTCACCCCCTATTACATGGGACTCATAACATAAATAGTGAAAAGTGGGTGTTACATTGTACAGTGGCATAATGTGCACCTCTGCCTACCCCTTCGGGGATAAAAGGCGTGATGTTATGTTATGTTATGTTATGTTAT